CATGCCTAAGATATCCTTGAGCTCTGATACAAAAGTATTACTTGACTATTTGAGAGATTCAATTTTGTTTCCCAAAGGAATCTTGCTTACAGCAAAACTATACGCAGTAAGAAGTCAGGTCTGGAGATAGCTTGTGTCTGGATCTCAGAATAACAGCTCACCTTGGAGTTTTCACAAACTGTTCTGTTCCTCTGTCCTTGCCTCATCTCTCAGGCTCTCCCTTGCCTGGTCTCATCTCCTGCCACTCTCCCCTCACTGTACCCTGGCCTCTTTCTAGTGCATGAGGCAGCCTAGATGGACTTCTCTTTGGGAGTTTTGTGCGAGATGTTTCCTCTCCCTGGAAGTTTCTCCCAGATCCTCCCCTGACAAGCTTCTTGTTCTTCAAGCTTAAATGTTGCCTCCTTCTGAGCAGCCTCCCCTGATCACTTTCAGTCATGCTCCTTTATGTCATCCTACTGGGTTTTCTTCTTAGAATTTATCACTATCTTATATTCCCTTGTTTTTGGATGTTTCCTGTCTCTTTCCCTAGGTACAGGAAAGGACTTTATCTATTCCATCACTGGAACGATGAGGTTTATAACATTTTCTGAATGATAGACTGCTCCTTTATTAATGAGCAGTTCTAAAATTAAAATTATTTGGGGGCCCCTGGCTGTCTCAGTCAGAAGAGCATGTGACTCTTGATCTCAGGGTCATGAGTTCGAGTCTCACATGGGGTGTAAAGATTACTTAAATAAAAAAAACTTTAAAATTAAAATTATTTGGGCTTCCTATTTGAAATTATGTGCACATGTATTTTGTAGCTTCCTAGTTTTAACTCTAAGACACAATCATCACAGTTTATATATTATCTCAGATTACATTTACCTTTTGCAATTATTTTTTCCTTATAGGAACTACTACTAAGTTATATTTACTATTTTGTATTTTATATAAGATCAAAACCAAGACTGCTTATTTGAATGCTATCTGTGTATATCTCATAAAATTATATTTTAAGTTCTTAGCTTTGGCTCTAAGAATTCAATGACATCATACCATATATGTTATTCCATATTGTATATGACAAATTTAAAGGGACTTTTTTTCTGGATTTAAAAATATGTTTTATTTTATGTGTATATGTATATATGTATACAAATACATACATACACACATGCACGAACGCGCACACTATTTCCCTAAACATGTCTTGTTTCTAAGAACTTTAAGGTAAATTAATTCAAAATAATAATCAGATCCTTTTAGGTGCTCAAAAACATCTAAGCATTCTTCTTTTGGGCCAGCAAATCACAATCAAATCGCTTTCAGAATCAATGAATGGAAGGGACCATCTCCATAAAACAAATATGCATATATCACCTCACACCTGTCAGAATGGCTAAAATCAACAACACAATAAACAGGTGTTGGCCAGGATGTGGAGAAAAAGGAACCCTCATGCACTGTTGGTGGGAATGCAAACTGGTGCAGCCAATCTGGAGAACAGTATGGAGGTTCCTCCAAAAGTTAAAAATAGAACTACCCTATTTTCTAGAGAGAGAGGCAAACCAAGAAACAGTGCAATTGCACTACCAGGTATTTACCCAAAGAATACAGAAACACTAATTCAAAGGGATACATACACCTCTATGTTTATAGCAGCATTATCTACAATAGCCAAATTAGGAAAACAGCCCAATGTTCCTCAACTGATGAATGGATAAAGAAGATGATACACAGGGCGCCTGGGTGGCTCAGATGGTTAAGCGTCTGCCTTTGGCTCAGGTCATGATCCCAGGGTCCTGGGATCGAGTCCCGCATCGGGCTCTCTGCTCCTTGGGAGCCTGCTTCTCCCTCTGCCTCTCTCTCTCTCTCTCTGTCTCTCATGAATAAATAAATAAAATCTTTAAAAAAAAAAAAAAGGAAGATGATACACACACACACACACACAATGGAATATTATTCAGTCATAAAAAAAGAATGAAATTCTGACATTTGCAATGACGTGGATGGAATTAGAGAGCATCATGCTAAGCAAAACTAGTCAGTCACAGAAAGACAAATACCACATGATTTTACTCATATGTGGAATTGAAGCAACAAAACAAATGAGCATCAGGAAAAAAAGAGAGAGAGAGGCAAACCAAGAAACAAACTCTTAACTATAGAGAACAAATTGATGGTGACCAGAGGGGAGGTGGGATTAAGGAGGGCACTTGTGATGAGCACTGGGTGATGTATGGAAGTGTTGAATCACTAAATTCTATTCCTGAAACGAATATTACCCTGTATGTTAACTAACTGGAATTTAAATAAAAACTTTAAAAAATACACATATGCAAAAATATTCATATAATTTTAGTGGGTTCATAGACTCCACCAAGCTTGTTTACTAACTCAGATTAAGAGCTCCTGCTTTACACAATTTTTGCTATTTTATCCTCAAGTGTTTTCATTTGCATTGTTTCATCTGTAAGCAATTTGTAAGTCTTTAAGAAAGAACTAAAGAATTTGTTTGGATTCAGGTAAGCAATTTCAACTTTTTATGACTTCCTCTTCTGAAAAACATTTCATAATCTTAGAAATCAAAGTTGAGAATATCATATAACTTATTTTTTAATCTTTGTTTCTAGAGTCATTGTTACCTATGAGTAGTAGTCCCAGAGATACAGATACAAGGTGAAAACCACTAGACAGATTTGTTAATTTTTTAAAGCTTCTGTCCAGTATTTAAGGTTACACATTAACTTTTCAAGTTTGGAGATATAGTGTGCCATGTTCTTTCTCACTGAGGCCAGTGAGTCAGACTCTCGGTATCCCACTGACAAAGAAGACTTCATTATTCTGGACATTGATACAATGAATCTAGCGAGTATTCTTTCCAAGCCAGCATATATCCTTTATTACGAGCGAGCATGGTAAACATCATTGATACAGATACACGTCTGTCTTGCTTTAGAGGTGACTAATCTCATAACCTGAACTTTGGGTAAAAGTAAATTACATGGTGGATTTTCCCAGCCTGACTGAATTTGAATCAGTATGCTAATTTACGCTTGAATGTATGTGATCTTTAGAGGCCAGATAGACTTAATAAATATTTATCTTACCATTAATTTATGCATTTTAAGTATTAAATTTTGAAAGAAAATAAATTTCTAGGTTAATAAAATAGCGCAATTAAATCCTTTATTTTTCTCATTAGACTGAAATAATGAACCAAATGGACAAAAAGAAGTCAATAAAAGTTTTAGCCTGAAACATTATTTCTCAAAGATAATGTTAAGATATTATGAAAATATGCACATTGCTTGTAATTGAATAGCAGAAAATCAATGCATTTACCTTTGAAAAGCAGAGGTATTCATTGCCTTCAAGCTTCAGTTTAGGACCTTAGCCTACGAGCTGCTGGTCCTACAAAGATGATCTTCTGGTTTTGTTATGAAAGAAAATGGAAGAATCTCTAGGTAAGGAAAACTTAGGTCATTTCTATCTCAATCTGTATCTATTCCATAGTGTATATGGAACACATTAATAGTTCTGCCTATCATTCTTTGCCAGAGTAGAGAACAGTTTCCAAATAAAATAATCTGAATTATCATAAAGCCAAAAATAAGAATGAAATATTTGAAATTATAATTCACTTAACCAGTGAAAACTTGAACACATTATCTTCTTTAGTTGGGGATTTGCAGTCATCTTTTGCATATTATATTTAGCCAACAACCAAATTTTAATTTTTAATTAGGAGACATTAAAATATAATTAGCAGCAAATAACAGAGTGACAAAGCTACAAAAATCCATAAAGGTCAAAGGAAGCAGCATCTTTAGCCACAGCAAGAAGTGTTCTTCCATGAATTTAGGTAATCATGGTGACCACTTCACCTTCTCCACATTCACCTCCAAGGCAAATTTTCTAGAAGCAACATTGTTTTTGAAAATAATAATGATGATAGTAATATAGGGATAGCTGTCAAAACCAGAGAGTGTACATTCCTCAGAGTCAAGAGACCCTCAAACCTCAATAAACACCATATATAAAGGAACATAGCAAATTTCAACACAGCATACACACAACAAAATTAATTCATTTATCAGAGACCAATACAATTTTGAATATGCATTTTCCAGAAGGAAGCAGAGGGCAACAGTGACCATCTGCAGCTGTCAAACCTGTGGAAGTGAAACAAGGCATTACAAAATTCACACAATATATGAATTATAAATGAAAAACAAATGCTTTATCTAAAAAAAGTTGGTTGGTGGCCCAACATATAGATCTCTATATGTATATATTTATATATTTAATGATAAAAATCAGCTTGCATGAGGGTCATAGTCTATCTACTTTGAAGTTATATCACACATACTATAAGCAATTTACAGAATTTGTCAGGTTTGCATATACAGGAATTGCAAAATGAATTAAAATACATTGAAATATAGAACACTCAAAATGTATTTATATAAACCTCCCAGGATTGACAGGGATTGGCCGTAATCAGCACTTGCCACCATTGAACAAGAAATATAATCAAGAAAAAGGTGGAAAAAAATCCAAGAAAAAAGAGAAAATTAAAAAAAAAATCTTTCCTTTATTGTGTCTTATTTAAAATAACGTTCTCCTTGTTGACTCGCAGTGTTGATGATTTTGTTGTTGCCCCAAAACCGGGGTTTTGTTTGATGGTAGTTTATGTTCTGTAGCTTTTTGATTTCTGTTTGTTTCCTGCAGGTAATGTGTCTTTTAGTAGGAAATCAGTGGTATCCATAGTAAAGATTTACTATACTGATGACGTTCAGGCCAATCCCTGAGCAGTCAGATGATGCTTTAAGTAGCCGAAAGAAAAGGAAAAAAAAAAAAAAAAAAAGATCTGGCTATTAGAAAATGTCCTATCACTTCACACTAATTTTCTCGAAATAAAAGACCAGTGATTTGCCCAAGAAAATGTTATGAACAAAGCGTGTGATAGCCTCTTCATTTATGCTTCCGGAAGCAGGCGCTCCTTGGGTAGGTAATTAGAGAACAGTGGGTGCAGAGTGGTGCTTGGAGTTTAGGGTCAACTTTGCTGTCCGCTCCGTAGATTTTACAGGCGATTTGCTCTTTGCTTTAAGAAGAGAAAGTGATATTGGAAAAAAGTCAGCACTTTAGATTAAAGCAAAGCACCCTTCACAAAGCCACAAACAAGAAGCAGGACAGAAAGTCCATGGCTTGTAGCTATCCTCGCACCTGCGGAAGAAGTTATAAGATATTCGCTCATCTTGAAGATTTCCAATGCTCCTTATTAGGCTGTTTTAAACACATACATATATATATTTAATTAGCTCGCCAGCTTGGCTCTGGTGCTCATGAATGTCTTGGCATGCACTGCAAATAACAACACATACAAAGTATTTCAGTCCCAGGAAGTTGGTCTTGTTTTGTTTTGTCTGTTTTCAAACAATGCCATCCCATGGTTGGGAACCCTGAGAGAAACAAATCCACATACTCGTCCCTCAAGTAATTCTTTAAGGATCATTCACTCTAGTCATTTGGTTATTCCTCTATTGGTACCAAAAAAAAAAAAAAAAAACGCATCCCCTGTTTTACTACTGCGTAAGCATAAAACCACAGGAGTAGAACCAAAACAGAGCAGCAGGATTCTCAAGGGCGGGGAGAATGTGTTCTGGGATGGGTGCATGAGGGCATTTTGTTTTAGAGAAAGATCTTTCTCAATTGTTTACTCTTGAAATCTGAGGAAAAGTTAAGTGCTATCAAGAGTTGGAAATTTTTGAAAGAGCTTGAGGACACTGTAAAGGAGAGAACTAAATGGTGTTCTTGCATTTATTTCTTCACGCATTTAATTCAGTAAGCTTCTAGCTACTAATTATGTATTAAATACCTTTATTTGTAAGAAAACAAAAATGTGATGAGGCTCTAAGAATTTCTTTCCTTTTTGGGGGGGGTCTTTCTTTTTTCTTTCTTTCTTTCTGTCTTTTTTTTTTTTAAGATTTTATTTATTTATTTGACAGAGAGAGAGAGACAGCGAGAGAGGAAACACAAGCAGGGGGAGTGGGAGAGGGAGAAGCAGGCTTCCCACGGAGCAGGGAGGCTGATGCGGGGCTCGATCCCAGGACCTGGGATCATGACCTGAGCTGAAGGCAGACGCTTAATGACTGAGCCACCCAGGCGCCCCTGTCTTTCTTTTTTTTAAATTGGAGATAGATTGAAACAGTTTGAAGGGGTAAGGGCATGGAAATTCAATCTTTTGAATATTTCCGCTAAATCATGTTCAGGTCCATATTGCCAAATGATAAAAATTGAGGCAAAAACACATGCTCTCAAAACGTCACTGTAGAATAAACATTTGGGGGTTCTAAGATAGCCATTTATTAGACTAAATCAAATCATTACTGTTTTGTTGTTGTTGTTGTTGTTTTTGGTTAGGTTACTCTAGTGCTGCCATTGATTGTCTTTGTTTGGTAGCGAGCCATATATTTAACATAGTATCTCCTCATAGAAACCTAATGGCTGAAGACCCTGCAGTTAATGGTGAGTCTCAGCAGGGTGCCTTCATTCAAGCCGGGTAAGAAGGTTCAACAATGCAAAAGTGATAGGTCATGTGAAGCTCTCAGCACAAAGTTCATGCAAGGGAAATATATACAATCCATGTAGAACCACTAGCATCAGAGCTTTCCAAAATTAAATATGTATTCTTATTATCTTTTGAAGAGAAATTCTTTGACAAGGATTCATTTAATCAAAAAAAAAAAAAGAAAGGAAAAAAGAAGGAAAGAAAGGAAGGAAGGAAGGGAAGAAAGAAGGAAGGAAAGGAAGGAAGGAAGGAAGGGAAGAAAGAAGGAAGGAAAGCAAAAAAAGAAATGATTACATGGCTCTTTGAATAGCCAACTGCACTTGACACAAAGTATGTCTGATATTGGGTAAAGGTTCAAGAAATGCTAAGAGCAATAAAAGCAAGCAAAATGATTCACTCTTCAAGAAAGATATTTTGTGAAATAATGGTTTCCTTTTCAGTGTAGGCATTGCAGATTGGCTCACACTTGCTCAGATCATGTATTTTGCTGCCCCTTCCTCAAATAATCAACCCTTCATAGGAAATGCCTGAGCCCATCATTCCCAAAAAGATATGAAGGGAACCGCTACTTCATTTTGACCCAACATTTCCAACCATACTATGTCCAGCATGTGCAAGTTAAAACAAAATTTACATAAGCAGGGTAATCAGAAAGAAGCCCAATTGCATACTGTAAAGTGTATTTTAAGGTTACTAAAATTTTGAACTGCCATCAGATACGCAATATGCCATTGTAACATAGTATTTTTTTTTCTAGTAATCATTCATCTGCTCTAGATACATGCATTTCCTAGCATATTTCTATTAAATGAAATGTATTTCTGTCAGGACAATTATAAAGCTTTTTTTTCCCCCCTGTACATTAGATTCTAAAGCAATTTTATCATCAAATCACTGGTTGTTTTTCTCTTCTGTTTTAGGTCTTGAATGAAGACATATGGACTCCTTTATCTTTGTAAATCCAAGGACTTAGTGAAACCTAAGACTCTGAAATGCTGTCATTTGTCCTATGTTCTTTTAACAAATAATCATCATAGTCCTTTCCATTCAGATGTACACTATTCTGAATATCACATTATTATCAAACATGTTATTATACTCTATTCTATAGAAAGTTATTATTATTTTTCTTAAAGTCAAACTTTGGCCACTCATCATGCTTTATTCTTACCTTCACTGATAGAAACATTTTACTCTTGTGAAATAATGACAGCCAGGACTCAGTTAGGAACCCTGAGCTCCAATTTCTTCTGCTGCCTCTCATTTCTAAGATCCCAAATAAGAAACATATTTGTTCTACGTTTTCTAAGTTGAGCATAATAACTGTTTGTGTATTATTATTTTTTTTTTCATATTAGTATGATAGACATTGTGTTGGATCACCTATTTTGCTTTATTTGGTTTCTCTTGCCTTATGCCCAGGCCAGGCAGGGTGATCTGTTATTCCCTAATACGCCCATGAATTTAAGCAACTCTTCCCCTCAAATAACCTGCACCCATTTTGTGTGTTCCCACCAGCCAGTTGTAATCTCACTCCCCTCTGAACTTCACAGTATATGGGCGTTGTCTCTCCAATGGCCTCAGCATGGCCTACATTGACTTGTAATTCATTACATTCACAGCTTATCCCACTGATTACATTGTAAGCTCATTAAAGGCGAGGGACAAAACTTCAGCAATTTTTTTTATGACTCTCAATGTCTAAAACAATGCCTTGAAAGTTTTAAAACTTTTCCCCTTACACAAAGTTCCCTGTAAAGAAGAGAGATACTATTATCTAAATCATGCGAAGAAAATGTGCAGATAGCATGCCCAAAGAGCAGCCTAATAGAACTTAGAGATTTCTCTCTGACTCAGCATGCCATTTCATGATGTCCTTTGACTTCTATTTAATAACGATGACTTTCATTTGTTTTTATGCTTAAAGATTTTCATAGTGCTCTCTCTCTCAGGTGTAATTCCCCAAGCCTTTGTAACACAGGAAAGGTATTTTCTCCATTTTGCAAATGGAAAGGTCTAATAAGTCTCCTTAGAAGTCTAAGGAGTGCAGAAACTTAGCTTCCAGTTTTCAGCTCTTCTTATACCTCATGCAACAGCCACTGTCACATCACCTCCACTGAGATGTGGAAAAGCAAGCCTTTCTCAAGAGGCTGACTGTACCAAAAGAGAGTTTGGCTAAGGAGAAATACGAAAAAAGAAAAGAAAAGCCTCAAATATTTATCTTCACTTAATTATTATCTCAAAGAACAAAAAAGTCCATCTGTTGCTTTAAAAAAACAAAAAACAAAAAAACCCCCCAAAAACCAACCAAACAAAAAACAATCACAGCTCAGGAGTGAGACCTTGGCATTCTGTGCAATCCGGTGGAGATGGGCTGCAGTGACACCGCATCGTGAGAACCACTTCCATCAAGAGCTCAGTCCTGCATCTCCCTGCCTCATTTCACTTAGCACAACTTCCCAGACTGCAAAGTCGGCCTTGCCCCTCTCATCTGTCTGCCAGATGGAAGAACTTAGCTCCCTTTTAGCACCTTCCTTTTTAAACTATTCCATCTGTACTGCCATTTCTTCCCTGCATGCACGGTCATGAGGCTGGAAGACACTGGGCATGTTTAATAATGTAGCATCCCTCTTGTTCACATCAATTTCTAAAATGACTAAAACACACTGGGCATCTACTATGTGTCAGGGAATCTGCACTAGGTAATTTGCATGCATTGTCTTAGTTCATCCCCTCAACAGTTCTGTACAGTAAATGTACAGATCAGGAAAATGTAACTCAGTGACATGGAATACCTCACCCTAAGTCACATGGATAATAGGTGGTAAAGTAAAGAAATGAAGAAACTGCAATGCGAGTCAGATCAATTTAGAATAAGGACGTGCTTTTTTTAATGAGACTCCCTGAGGCAAATGATCTTGCTCCATTGTCTCCACATCTGTTCAGTCAAGATGTGAAGCTATTATTTGAATGTACACTAATCTTTTCAGAGAAAAATGCACTGGCCATAACATGCTTCAGAGAAAAAAAAAAAATTGATCTAACATTTCTTCTCCCCAACTCAGAATTGATAAATACGGGATACAAAAACATCATCAGACTTTTAGTTTTCCTAAACCTTAAGAAGACGTAAAGCTTGCTTTGCTCCATATAGTGTACCAAATGTCGTATGACATAATAATAGTTTGAACTTTTCATATGATAGAATTTTAGAGCTTAAAGGTTCGTCCAAATTCATTTAAATATTTGAGTAAAAGGTGGCTCCACCATCATTCCTACATGTCTTCTTCTAAGAACTTCTTTTTCTCCAAGCTTTTTACTCAATTTGATAGCCTAGAACTAAGAAAGCTAAGCTGATTGTTTTAAGTGCCACCACTAGTTAGTGATGGAGTGAGAAAGACCACCCGAGCTCTTGTCCACCAGAAAAAAGCATCAGAAGAGGATACGGGTATTGAAGTCAAAGAACTAAGAGGAGCGTTTACACAACTATCTGGATAATTTATCCCATCTAAATTATACCAGCTCTTCAAATA